CTCATACTTATTGGAGAATTTTAATCATTCTTTTATTTCACATTTCTTTTGTACTTTAATTACAATTTAAATACAAGTACAGTATTGTACTTCTAAAATCTTTCAAGAATGATAATTGCTATTACTGTATTTGCAATTTTAAACAAAGTATTATTACTATTAATTTATATACAGCACTGTACTGTACACTGTACTGTGATAAATTTGGTTTTACTGCTTGTTCTTATTTAGAGGAACTAAAATTGTTTATGGATTTCTCTGACACATGCAAACTATTTCAGTACATTATAGTACTGTACTGTACTTTATTTTGAAGCCTTTAAAAATGTGTACATTTATTATTTCAAGCAAAATATTACCATTACCATTACTAATATAGGGGCAGTAGGGTGGGTAGGGGCAGTAGGAGGGTCAGGGTGGGACAGGTGTAGTGTCAGGGCAGTAGGAGGGTTGGGGTGAGGTAAGGGTAGTGTCAGGGCAGTAGGAGGATCGGGGTGAGGTAAGGGTAGTGTCAGGGCAGTAGGAGGATCAGGGTGAGGTAAGGGTAGTGTCAGGGCAGTAGGAGGATCAGGGTGAGGTAAGGGTAGTGTCAGGGCAGTAGGAGGATCAGGGTGAGGTAAGGGTAGTGTCAGGGCAGTAGGAGGATCGGGGTGAGGTAAGGGTAGTGTCAGGGCAGTAGGAGGATCGGGGTGAGGTAAGGGTAGTGTCAGGGCAGTAGGAGGATCGGGGTGAGGTAAGGGTAGTGTCAGGGCAGTAGGAGGGTCGGAGTGAGGTAAGGGTAGTGTCAGGCAGTAGGAGGATCGGGGTGAGGTAAGGGTAGTGTCAGGCAGTAGGAGGGATCAGGGTGAGGTAAGGGTAGTGTCAGGCAGTAGGAGGATCGGGGTGAGGTAAGGGTAGTGTCAGGGCAGTAGGAGGATCGGGTGAGGTAAGGGGTAGTGTCAGGGGCAGTAGGAGGATCGGGGTGAGGTAAGGTAGTGTCAGGGCAGTAGGAGGATCAGGGTGAGGTATGGGGAAAGGTCAGGGTAGTAGGAGGGTTGGGGTGAGGTAAGGGTAGTGGGCCAGGGCAGTAGGAGGATCAGGGTGAGGTAAGGGTAGTGTCAGGGCAGTAGGAGTGATCAGGGTGAGGTAAGGGTAGTGTCAGGGCAGTAGGAGGATCGGGTGAGGTGGCAGTAGTGTCAGGGCAGTAGGAGGATCGGGTGAGGTAAGGGTAGTGTCAGGGCAGTAGGGAGGATCGGGGTGAGGTAAGGGTAGTGTCAGGCAGTAGGAGGATCAGGTGAGGTAAGGGTAGTGTCAGGGTAGTAGGAGGGTTGGGGTGAGTGTAAGGGTAGTGGCCAGGGCAGGGAGGATCAGTGAGGTAAGGGTAGTGTCAGGGCAGTAGGAGGATCGGGTGAGGTAAGGGGTAGTGTCAGGGGTAGTAGGAGGATCGCAGGTAAGGGTAGTGTCAGGGCAGTAGGAGGATCAGTGAGGTAAGGGTAGTGTCAGGGCAGGAGTGATCAGGGTGAGGTAAGGGTAGTGCTGTGGCAGTAGGGAGGGTTGGGGTAGAGGTAAGGGTAGCCAGCAGGGAGGACTGGGTGAGGTAAGGGTAGTGTCAGGGCAGTAGGAGGATCAAGAGGTAAGGGTAGTGTCAGGGCAGTAGGAGGATCGGGGTGAGGTAAGGGTAGTGTCAGGGCAGTAGGAGGATCGGGGTGAGGTAAGGGTAGTGTCAGGGCAGTAGGAGGGTTGGGGTGAGGTAAGGGTAGTGTCAGGGCAGTAGGAGGAGAGTCTGGTTGGATCATAGTGGCTGCCAAGGTAGCAAGACTATTCCTGGTAGTGAGGGGCGGGAACGCACCCCTGTATAGCCCTTACGTATAGCCCGGGTATTTTAAGCTACACATCAGTTATTTTATGAACAGTATCATTATAATTTGAAGTATTGTACTGTAGGATACTCTATATTTGTGAAGTTAGAAATGACTACCCAGGTGCATTTTGCAAATATCGTTTTATTCGCAACTCTTAATTAGGGAACAGTTGTTATGTTTCATATGAGCTAGTGATTCTTGAAAAGTTAATTACGTTTATTGATTATATAAATACAATTTTGAAGTGTAAAATGAAGGTTTCAAATGTTGAATTTGTCATGTATGTTAATCGCTTTACAGGAAAATGATACATGTGAAATAAAGAATCATTATACAGTGAAATAATGTGTGATAATTGTTAACTCGTCGAACATTCATATCATCCCAGTGTTATAATCATTACCTTAAGACTAAAGTCAGAATTAGGAAGCCCTGTTGGCGCTGTATCGTGTGCACACGCCAAGAAGTACATCACGTCTATTCATGACCTTGCCGCCCTCACTTGCACTTCCTTGCCCCTCTGATTCACTTACGTCTGGAGACCAATGAACAATTTTCCTTGGTTTATTTGATATTGTTTCTGAACTTTTCTATCAACATTACTACCAACCCTGAAATATATTTATTTACTTATTTTTACTGCCAGGGTAAATGATATGGTTGTTCATTCAGTAAAGTGGTTCTACTTTCCGATTTGTTTGGGAACGCACCTGGGCATTTTATTCTGGCTAACGCCAGACGAATTTATTCAGCTGGGAGAAACCTCTGCCCTCTAAAGGGTTTGAGCCTGTCGATTATATTATGTATCGGACAAGCAAATTTGGTACATGTTTTCAATATGCAGACCTTGTACCCTATTGATTCTGTATCAGAAGTTGAAAGGTCAAGGTTATTGTAGGAAATTTCTGCAGCATACCTTAAGAACAATTTGATTTTACAAAATTTAGTCCTCGAAGCTCATAATGCAAATATGACTCGCATATTCTTATAATAATCCCTAAGTGAATCACAAGTCCTCGTGAAGGCTCAGGTGCTAAAAATGCCCCCAGGTGACCAACAAGTGTTAATCATGACTCAAATGTGCTCATAATGGCTCTGAGTGTAACTCAGCCATTCATAATAGGCCTTGTTTAACATCCGGGGTAGCAAGTCCGAAGAGCAATCCAGAGCATCGGGTTACTTTTTAGTAACCCAACAAATGGATTCGTCATAGTTGAATAACAGTCAGTGCATAGTGCATAGGGGGTTACTTTTTAGCAACCATAATGTTGTAACTTGAGATTGTTGCACTGGCATAGGTACAGATACATTCAAGAACCAGTACATGCCCAGTACTACGTACTTGTCAACAGTGCACAACCGATACGTATATTACGTAACCGACCGCCCCTGCGGCTGAGGAAACCAATCAGTGACGAAGAGGATAAAAAACCAAAAGGTAGGCCTGGGCAACACAACGTAAACAAACCAGCTTGATCTGTGGCGCCAAATTTGAAGCTTAAGCATGAGTGGTGGTTGTAAAACTTCTTTTTTAAGAGAGAGGGCAGCTTCCTTGACTGAAACACAAAAGAACACTAAAATACACGATAAAAGAGTACAAAATTAGACTGTACTGATTTTTCCTTTTAACGGTGAATATAAAATCATAATCTTATATTTTCTAAAAAAAAAAAAAAATGTTACAAATGTTATCTCAGTTCCTGTAAAGACAATTAGATTATAATTTCAATACAGTATATATTTTTGTAATTTCATATACATATACAGTATACTGTGATACTGTTAATTTATTGTACAAGTATACAGTATTCCTACCTAATGGAGGAATGTAAATAATTTTATTTAACATTTTATTTTGTACTTTAAATGCCATTTTTTTCAATTCTAGAATTTTTTAAGAATTTTATTTGATATTGACAATTTCATACTCAGTATGATAGCTATTGTTTCATATATTGTATACATACAGAAATACTTCTTGGTTTATTGCCTTTTCTTACTAAGAGGAAATAAACTGTACTGTAATAAACTTTTATTTATAGGTATATCTTATAAAGCACTGTACAATACTGTACTTGAATACGGCTTCAATACTTTCAAACCATAAAAAAAATGTGTAGGTTTATTATTTCAAGCAAAATACAGGGTATTGTACTGTTAGTGATAAAATTTTGAATACCATACTCTATTTTATATACTGGGATATGTTTGTGAGTGGAATTCTATTTTCTTTTTTCTTTTACAGTATTGTACTTGAAATATTGTTTTACGTTGTACAGTACAGTACTGTGATTTTATTTTGCGCTGCCGATACTGTGATTTTATTTTGCGCTGCCGATACTGTGATTTTTTTCTTTTAATGGAAAATAACCATTTTAATAGAAATCTTATCTACATCAATGTCTTATACCAAACCAATAATACTTCTATTTACCCCTACACTTGGACATCATATATCTGCATTCTTGGACATAATTTACCTATTACAAGTTTACTTGTACAGTATACAAAAAAAAAAAAAAACATTTTCAAAATTACTTAAGATTTATACTAAGAATTAAAGTACAATTGGCAGTACTGTACAGTTAACATTCCTGTTTCTTGTTTTGTAAAATGATCAGGAATTTTGGCAGTTAATTAATGTACTGTATATTATTATTTTACTTTGTTTTGAATGCTGCTGCTGTAAATGGGCATCTAAGTTTACAACTTAGGGAAGTGAATGCGGCCGAGTGCATTACCGGCCATGTGGATAAAGGAAACACAGTATGCCTATTGGACCCACTTTAACTTTCAATATTGAGGTGGGCAAACCACAGTCTGTGCACAACAAAAATTATAACATATGGTACAGGTATATATTTAAAATACTTCTTCACTTTGATACTGTATTGAGTTCCCTCTATCCACATACTGTACTACAAATACTGTAATTGCTGTGTAATATAATTTAGCTGTACTTTTCATCTAAGTGTGAAATACAGTACAGTGCTAAAGATATACTGTACAGTACAGTGCTAAAGATAATTAAGTCACCTGTAATGTTTTGTAATTTATGTTTGATTTCATGGCATTCTTAATAAGTTTGTATAATCATAAAGTTTTACTGTATAGATTTGTTTTTTCTTATAACTATTTTGATGTAATGTATATTCACAGTTCTGGGAAGTTATCAGTGATGAACATGGGATTGACCCAGTGGGCCAGTATGTCAATGGAGATGGTGAAAGTTCCATGCAACTGGAGAGGATCAATGTCTACTACAATGAGGCCACAGGTACAGTTGCATAATGCTTATTGTAGTATGTAAAACACAAGATTGTTTTTATTACAGTATTCTGTATGTGTGATAAATAGCAGGTGGAATCAGGTAGGCCTACACAGTTAAAATTTAAAGTGTACCAGTGTAAAGTAGGGAAATATTATAATTAATCCCACTGCTGTACAGTATATAATTTCTTTAAATTTATTTACTTATATTCTGTTCTTTGGGCATACTGTATCTGGGAAACCCTACAGTGTACTGTGCATATCAATGGGCAGTACTGTATACTAGTACACATTCTCTTCACTAGTTATTAAACTGTAATGCTGCCACCACGGAGATTTTTAATCAGAATATAATGTAACATCAACAGTAAAACCTCTGAATTAACTTGGTGCTGGTAGAGAGGTCAAGGTGCGTGAAGTCTAAATGATATTTTTTGACAATCTAATATTAGATGGAATGAAGAGTGATACACATACTGTATTATACATGTACTTACCGGGTATTTACTATTTATAAATATCAACTGTTGTTACTTTGACTTGAACCATCAATTACAAATTAAAGGAAACTCCCAAATGGCTTAAACCATTGCTTAACAAATGCTATTTGGTCTTACTTTGTGATCAGAAAAAATTTCTTCACTTAACACTTTTAAAACTTTGGTAGAAAAATAACAGCTCAATGGACCCAAGCATATGGTGGCCATTACAAGCACCTTTAGGTAACACTCACACTTGTACAGTATTATTATTTATAGCACCATTAAGTATCTTGGCTAGAGATCACACTATTACCACTACTGTACAGTCTCACCCAAAAGTTTGTTAATTCTCCCAGCCAGCTGCACTGCCTGCTTCAGATGTTTGAAACTGTCTCAGTACCAACCAGAACATGGAACAGATACGAATGTATCTAAAGGTTCGAAGTAACAGACTAAAGTTCATACATCTGAAGCAGGCAGTGCAGCTGGCTGGGAGAATTAACAAACATTTGGGTGAGACTGTACTAGGAATCACAGGGATAGCCTGACATCACATAAGATCATCAGCACAGTTGATTCACTTAACATCCATAACAAACACAGATCTTGTCTGTATAAATTTATTCAGTCTTAGCAAAGTAATACTTTACCTGCTACAGATACACTATTTATAACCTGTCAATAATGACACATTCAGGAGGATTTAAGCCATACAGGTTGGCGGGTAATAACACAACCTGACTCAGAATTACCACCGAGTCAGCCAGGTCTGTAATTCACACCAAGATACAACCTGGATAACACACTCCATGGTTGTCACAGACCTCCACTGTTATACTCTGGTAGCAAATTCATGCTTTCGGAAGATGCATTTAATATATACTTATTTTTACTCACAATAAGTCATACTAAGACAAATTACGTAACAGTAATACTACATTATGCAAAAACAACATTGAAATATTACACGACTGTTAGCAGAGGCGGGAAATATAACTGCGAACAACTTCATATTTTTCCCGCCTGTGCTAACGGTTGTGTAATATTTCAATATGATTCTCATCTTTAAAAATGTTGTTTTTGCAAAATTTAGTATTACTGATACAGTATGTAATTTGTCTTAGTATGCCTTATTGTGGGTAAAAATAAGCATATACAGTGACCCCTCATTTAACGAATGCCTCGGTTAACGAAATTTCGGTTAACGAACTGCCTTCCATAAGGATCTTCAATTCGGTTAATGAAAAAAAATTCGGTTAACGAATTTCTTACGAACCGACCTCAACATGTTTTCGCTTGCACTGACCGGGCAACCAGCTTTAGTATCAGTCCGCCAATACATTAATCGGTTCTAGGGCTTAAATTCCTTACTATTTTAGTAAATATCAAGAAGTTTATACTATTCAATAATTTTAAAAGTTTAATATTAACTTTTTTAGTCATTTTAGCAATTATTGAACATAATTGAAGGTAAAGAAACTAGTTTCTGGCGTGCCATCCAGCCTGTTAACACACCAGACAGGCCTTAGTCTCTCTCTGTTTTCAGTGGAGGTAACATCTTGCTTGAGACTCTCTTCAACTAAATGCTTTTTTTCTGTGTTCCAAGCAAATTATTGGTCATTTTGAAATATATTTTACATTTTGACAATATACAATGCAGTGCAGTGTTGATTTAAAGAAAATAATCTTGAAATACACCAAGAGAACTAAAATTTTATGGATGAAATGGTGCCATGGGGTGACTTCTCTTCCACCCCAATGCCTTTTCTTCTTCCTTCTCCTCCACCCCCATTCTAATTCCCATCATCATCATCATCATCATCATCATCATCATCATCATCATCATCATCATCATCATCATCCAGGAGCCTTCTACATACACACCTCAAAGTAAGTGAACTTTTCTACCATTTTTGTTGAATTTAGGAAATTTTCGGTGAACTGGAACCAATTACCCAAAAACCCATTGAAACAATGGTTTCGGTTAACGAACGACCTTCTGGAACGGATTGAGTTCGTTAACCGAGGGGTCACTGTATTAAATGCATCTTCCGAAAGCGTGAATTTGCTACCAGAGTTTAACAGTTAATCCGTGTATAATACTTGTGATAAACTTCCCTTCCTACATGCTTATGTTTGAAATAATGAATGTACGGATCTTTATATAATTTAGCTAAATATCTTTCTTGTCAGAAACGGTCATCCCAACAATTATTATGAATAAACTCGTTTAGAAATACATCATTACTTCAGGACAAAATCGGACAGGTTTGTAACAGCCAATCAGCTGTAACTCTTGGGGAGGGGGCAGGGCATCTCTTCTCAGCTGAGAAAAATCGCACTATAGTACTTTGCACACTTTGCTGGTCAGGCTCGCTGGTCTATAATTATTCGTGGAGTGACGATTACCCTTCTTGAATATAGGACTCACATAAGCCATTTTCCAGTCATTGGGGGCCTTTTGCTCTTCCCGGCATTTGCAGAACAGGATCTTAAGGAGGCATATCACATGCCCTAACAGGACAAAGAGACTGCATTAATTGAGACTGAATGTGAAAAGGACCTGGATGTGTACAGTATGTCGACAATGAACTTTAGTTCTTGGGCCATTGTGAGAAAAAGGTGAATCAGGCATCGGAACTATTGTAGTAGGACTTATAAGAAGGTCTTTTAGATAACTGGATGGTCCGTTGCTCATCGCGCTCTTCAAGAGTAAGGTGCTTCCCCGTCTGGAGTATTGTCACCCTGTCTTGTCCCCGTGGTATGCTAGAGACTCAATTGATTGAAAATGTCCAAAGGAGGGCCACCAGACTGGTGCCTGCTCTACGGAACCTCAGTTACCCAGAGAGATTGGAGAACCTGCAATTACCTAGCTTATACTACAGACGGGCAAGGGGTGACTTAATCGAAATGTATAAACATCTCAGGGGGCACTACTTGATCGAATGTACTTACCTGGAGCTGGCAGACGTCCACCCCACAAGGGGTCACAGCTCAAAGTTAAGAAGCCACAAGTCTAGAAAACTGTGAAGGCAGACTTTTTCGGAGTGAGAATTGTGAACTCTTGGATCAATCTGCCAGTGTTGTGACAGCACCAAGTGTGAGCTCATTCAAGGCCAGACTTGACCAACACTGGAGCTGGTTCCAATATATTCAGGAGCCGGTACTTGCCATTAGTGTGTATCTGAGACATTGCCGACCACCCAAGCGGCTAATGAGCTGATCAGTGGTGAAGAGGTAAAAGTTTTTTAAAAAATCATATTTTACTTTATCCTCTTTGCCATTTATTAGGTAACTATCTGGTCGGGCAGTTGGTCGGTTCTGTATGCAGGATTGTATGTGCATGTAACTGAATAAAAAATTATATACAAAGTTAGTTTATCTTCCAGAAATTAGGGGTTGAAGAATAACCGTAACACAAATCTTGCTGGGGCACGGTGGTGCTGGAGAAGTGATTGTACCAAAGATTATAAAGTAAAGTTATATGCAGGCAGTGTGGTGTTGGTGGTCATTGTGTTTTTGTATGTGCTTGTGTGAGGTGATACAGGGCAGCAGCCACCTGCCAGTCCCTCTATTCATACCACTGTTTGGTCTAAAGATCCGACGTGATAGCATATGCTGCTTCCCATATCTCTTACTTATTTATGAACTACTGTACTGCAATACAGATAAAAAAAATGGTGTTTGTTTCATACATTATAAAAACAAAAAAAAAAATCTGAATTTACTTACAGGACATTTAGGTGGAGCCATGGTGACAAAAGCAGGCAAAAAAATTGGTTGTGGCCAGACCAAGCACTAGCTAAATTCTAAGTCCATGTAGCATGGGGATGCTACCCTTGGACTGTATACGACTCGACCGCTGGTCTGCTGCAGATGCTATGCGTGAATTATAATGGACTTGACCGCTGGCCCACACAAAACATTTTCTACCCGACCCCGCTCAGCCAAATTTTCACTGTGGTAGCCCAGTTCAACCTGTATTCAAGCAAATCTTATCCCCGTGTTAAGCGATACTGGGTAGTAATAAAAAAACTGTTTTTGAGCGAATCTGCATTGAACAAACCCAAGTTAAGCAATGGGGCAGTGTATGGAGATTATTGGCAACACATGAGAGAAGATGAGTGGAGTAGTTTTCTTAGACAACTGGCTGACTGATGGCACTGGCAATTTCTGGGCTGGAATGGTGACTGACACATATGACACAAGTATTTGAAAAAAATATTGATAAATTTTTCATAAATGTTAAGAAATTAGACACATTCCATTGGGAAATTATGTTGATAACTGACATGGAGGAAGATATTAAAATCCATACAGAAAAACGATTTAATGTTTAGTATTTTACTTATTGTTTAGTTTTCTTTACTTGCTGTTAGTGAAATTGATAGTGAAGTGCTCAGAGTAGCACCAGAAACATCAAAGGTACTGTAGTGGATACTCTCCCCTACAACTGCCATTGCTGTTAGTCGCTGATCAGCCGATCCTGCGTCAAGTTTCTCTGACAAGCCTAGCCGTCTAGACTCGCGGGGGTCGGCCACCAGCAACGCTTACTTCCGGTGGACGTGTATATAAGCTCACAGCCTCGCTATGAAAGGCATTCTACCAAGAGCTCTGCAGCACACAACACCTCCTCTAAAGAAGCTCCTGCACAGCAACTCCTCTACCAGGCAGCAACTTCCCAGCACCAGACTGTTTTGTGTATAATATATTTATATAGAGAAAACGCCATAGCTGAGTTTCCCTTCTCACCTCCTTCCTAGTGCGATCTAACATCACAACACCCAACAATACTTAGCAGGGTCTGGTGTGGATGGAGCTATCAGAGTTAAGAAGTGTCAGCATTGTAGCTTATACTGTATCAGGCAACACGTCATTGTGACACATTTATGTTTACTATACTGTATTCTTTTGGTTAGATTTTTTATTTTTATTTTTATTCCAGGTGGCCGTTATGTCCCTCGAGCAGTCCTTGTGGATCTTGAGCCAGGGACGATGGAAGCAGTGAGGTCTGGCCCCATTGGTAAGATCTTCAGGCCAGATAACTTTGTTTTTGGCCAGAGTGGAGCTGGTATGTATACATTACTTTTATTTTTATTGTTGATAGTGGGTGAGGCAGGTAAAGAAGGTAGAGTAAGGGAAAAAAAATTTTTTTTCTAAAAAAAAAAAAAAAAAAGTTTTTGTGATATAGTCCAGAATGCGACGTCTAGCCTTATACCTAGGTATGTTAATGCCTAGCATTAACTCGCCAAGCCAACATACAGGCAATTAAAACATCTAATAATTACTTAAATACAAAATATTAGGACACGTTGCTTCCTGGCATTTAATTGCAATTCTCAAAACTCCCTCCTGCACCCTCCATTACACGCATTGCTACCGTCATCTCTTGCTCTAGAGCGAGCAGTAAACAAATGTCAACTCTCGAGGGGTGGAGATGGGTGGGATGTCGACGTCGCATTCTGGACTATATCATAAAAAACGTTTTTTTTAGAAAAAATTGGGTTTTAGTCCAATCCAGAATGCGACCTCTAGCTTTGATTACCTGAGCAGGAGGTGGAGAGAGAGGTGACATTGCTTATAAGGCTCCGCTAGCTTAGGTCCAGATTATAATTATAAACTGTTTGGAATATTTTCCAATATTCGGAACATTTACCGGAAGGTAAAATGTTAATTTACATATCTCAATGAGGATACTCACTTTGTTCTGATGAGGAAGAAGAAGGTCCTGGTTATGGAGATTGACTAGGTGGGGGAGGGGACCCCAGTACCACCACATGTGAAGCATCTTTCAGAGATAGCTGAAGATAGCTGTTTTGAAAGGTTTTTGAAGATTTCCAAAAGCTCACTTCTTTGATCTGACTGAGGCTCATAGGCCGCAGAAAGGCCACAGACCCTGTGTATTTCCTGGTGTCATGTGCCAAAAATTTCTAGCCAGGGTCTGCTTGAGTCACTAACTGAGATAAATATTTTGTCATTTGACTAGGAGACAATTTCTTACCATCCTGTGATGAGAATACATAGGGGCCTCGATTAGGGAATCTGGTTAACCAGTCTTGAAGATTCCTAACTGGGCACAATATATGAGGAACCCTTGTCTCATCCATTGGCCGTTTTATCCTGATAGGTTGGGCTTGAAGATCCTCCCTTTCATTTTTTCTTAGGATCTCCGTAGGAAAAAGGGTGACATTTTCCTCAGAAAATACCAATAATGATGGATTATTGGAAATTTAAATCAGCTCAATGATTCTCATACCTGTTGCTATTGCTAGAAGGGAGGCTGCCTTCTGAAGACATCTGTCCCGGTTCAGATTTATATTGTATTGTAATTAGGCCCCATAAGAAATTTAGTAACTTTTTCTAGAGACCAAGGTGGGATTCTCTTAGGCCAAGGGGGGTCTCTGAATGAAAAAGGGCGATCTGAGCATTTGATAAATTCTTGTTTGATAAATTCTTGGGTTCAAAGTAATATTGAAACCTCATGCCAGAGGGTCAACCAATGCTGATTTATAAGATGCAATTGTCGATCCTTGAAGGCCTTTAACTCTGAACAGAAATTCTAAAAATTCTAACACCACTGTTTCCGACAATGTGATTGGAGTCGTAAACCTGATAAATTTTTGAAAATAATTCCAAGCTTTCTTATATTGTATAGAAGTATGGGGCTATGACCTGCTGTCACTTGGTTAACTATATTGGAATTACCCAACTATCTATTTAAACATCTTTTGAGAAACTCCAAGCGTGAAGTGCCAAGGATATCTCGAACTGAGGGTGCAGTACCTGTTCTAGGTATCCCTGTTGCAATTGTAGTGGATGCGGGCACCAGTCCAACAGATCGAGACACCACGGTTGTAGGATCCAATATGGTGTAATTAAGAGGACCTTTCCTTGGAAGGATCTGAGTTTGTGAACCACTTTGGGCAACATTTTCACAGGTGGTAACAGATAGATTGAATTCCAACGGTTCCAATCTATGAGTAGAGCATTTCTTAAAAGATTCGATCGTTCCAGAGATGCATAAAGTGGTATCTTGTGATTGTTTTTTGAGGCTAAAAGATCTATTTGTGGAGTTCCAAACTTCCTCACTAGACTCTTGAACTCTGATACCTTTAGGAACCATTCTGTTTCCGTCGATACTGGCCTGAGACGGGACAATGCATCTGCCCAATTGTTTTGTACTCCCAGTATGTGAGTTGCTTTGAGGTAGTTTTTGTGTTACACAAACTTTGAAAAATTTTTCTGACAGTTTTAGAAGGGGCCAAGATTTGGTTGAACCTTGATGATTGAGACAAAACTCTGCCATTTTGTTGTCCATAGCAAACAGGATTGTTATACTTTTGAAATTTGGGTTTGCCAACAAAAAGAATAGGACTATTGCTAATTCTTTTACGTTTATGTGTTTGTGCCAAAGGGAGTTGCTCCACTTCCCTTGACGGAACTCTCCTTTTGAGAAATGGTATCCCCATCCTATTTCGGACGCGTCCATACAAACGACCAAGTCTGTTTGAGGGGAACCCAGGGTGATGAACCGATTAGATTGTCCAAATTTGTCCACCATGACAGATGATTCTTGATCTGAATAGGGAGAGAAGCAATATTTCTGTTTCTGCGAAGCACCTTCGACCCCAGATGAGTTAGTTGCTTCTTCCTTAACTTGCCCAAAGGAACTACTATGGTGGCAGAATTCAACAGACCCAGTAGTTTTTCCCAATTGTACTTAACACAAAAGGTTTCTACTTGGTATATCACATCTGTTGCTTTTGCTTCTGGTAGACTGACTGACTGCTGATTGGTATCCCAATGGAGACCTAACCAATCCAATTTCTGACATGGCATGAGATTTGATTTGACCTGGTTTGTCTTTAATCCTAGGTTTTGAAATAATACTAGTGTACGTTGGATCACCCTTTGACAATCTTTGAAAGAGTTTCCCCACTATCAGCCAATAGTCTAGATAAGCAAAAGTTCTTATGCCCTCCTTCGCAAGGATCTTCCTGGGGATGTTTGCCAGTTTTGTAAACACTTTCGGCACAATTGTCAGGCCGAATGGCATCACTGTTAATTGATAACTTACATCCCCCAATGTGAACACTAGAAACTTTCTGTACCTGGGAGCAACAGGCACGTGATAATAGGCATCTTCGAGATCCACTTTTGAGATCCAAACATTGGGCGGAAGTACAGTAGATGCCTCATAATGGCAAGTGAGCATCTTGAAACTTTTTTTTTTTTTGGTAATGAACTTGTTCATGACGGAAAGATCTAAAATCCACCTCAATTTGTCGCTGTCTTTCCTGGAGACTGGGAATAGGTGAGACATGAAAAATTTCTCTGACTGCAACGGATCCATCACACCTCTGTTTAACAGTTGAATTACAAATTCTGTGAGTAAGGGGGTTGGTTTTTGACCCCATTTTGGTAACACTAGGGGAAGGCGCTTCAACCAAGTCCATGTGAGGCCCCCTTTCAATGTCTTGAAAGCCCATATGGAAGAAGTCCACCTGTTTTCCTGACCCCCTAGACGACCCAGCTGTCTGGCTTCATTGGAAGGGAGTGGTTGCTGATGTGGTGGAATAAGGTCTCCTTCCACTTCTGAACAAATGGCCACCCTTACTACGTTTTGAATTGTTTCCTCCTCTAAAGTTTCCTCTATGTTGATAACTGAACCTAGCATCTGGTCCTGTTCCCCTGTTAAACCTTCCTCTTTTAAATTTCCGAAAGGTCTGAGGACTCCTGGGAACAGTAATATTAATAGCTTGCTCAACAGCTGGTCTATACTTAACTAATGTTTGTTCATCAAACAAATCAGGAGAAAGAGGGGAAGAACGTAGTAATAAATAAGCACTACCACTTAAAGCATTATTAGTGGCTTGCTTCCTTAGCTGGGCTTTTAGTTTTAGGGCTTTCAACAACATTTCCATAAATGAGTTGTACAGGGAATATGGAATCCCTTGTATAGCAGCACCAAAACATGTGTCCACTTCTGAACTGTCCTCATAGTCCAGCACCAACTTAGTCAATAACTGACACATCATGATTGCAGACCAAATATCCGCTGCCGACTTCCTAAATTTAAATTCTTCAAGCAACAATGCAGAAACAATTGGTTTCAAATTTCTTTCATAACTTATATCAGCATATTTTGGAGCCTACAAATACTGGGAAATTTCATACAAGGAACTCTTTTTGTCATTAAATTGGAACTTTAAAAAACAAAACTTGTGAGCATTCCTATCTGTGGGTATGAATGTTAAGTCTTTCAATATATTAGCCGAGACTTCATCTATTTCAGAGATCATTTTGGGGCAAATATCAGGCCAAGAAATTGTAGTATCACCTTCTAAAAACAATGAATGATGGCCCACAGTTGCTTGGCCTTCCTGTCTCTTTGTAAGTGCTGAGAGATCAGGAAGTTTAGAAGCATTTTCATAAAATATCTTGAATAAGGAATCCACAGACTCAGATGTGGTTGAAAACAAAGAAGACTTAGATCTTACCAATGTTACCCAAGGCCTGTTTGGATCATCCTTACACTCAATGTTATCCATCAGCTGCGTAGCAGTCGACAGCAGCCTGTTTCCACTCATAGTAACCAACACCTTTGCCCCAGGTGGAAGTGGTTGCCAAAATGGGGACAGGATGAAGTCAGTCTCAACAGGTTCTCCCTGCTCTAGAGACTGAACAATATGATTAGAGCCACCTTCCTCATCCTGATCCTGGATTCCACTAAAATCGGACTGACTAGGTAGAGGTTCTTGTAATCTTTCTACTGCCTCATTATTTAGAATATCCAATACTGTAATCTACTTTTCTTAGCAGAAGCAGGTTGGTCTAATTGGGGATGAAGTCTCTTACCTGTCATCCATAATTCTAAACTTTCTGCCAACTTGGGATCTTTCCATTGTTTTACATTTAGAAATTTTCTCTTCAAGGCCTTATTCCATCTATTTTTAATTTGGATCTGCAATAATTCTTTCTTATCTCCTGCAGCTTGATTACTGTAATTTTAAAAAGCTGATCATAACAAACTGCACAATTCATTGGTGAAAACTGGTTGTCTGAGACACA